AGCGAAGTGTGCTTAATTCCTAGATTCCTATGCTGCAAAGATTGTGCAATTCTCTGATGTTGTTTAAAGTTAAAACAGATCGCTGTGTACATGAGCTCTTGCCAAAAAGTTTTGGTAAGTGGTGTGGTGTATTTAATTATGGCAAAGCACACTAGGGCTATCTGCCTAAGGGGAGGGATGCCTTTCGTGGAGGACTTTCTAAGGGAAACTGGCTCGTATACACGTTACACATGGGGAAAACCATGAAAACGCCCATGCAGCCAGCACCTCAGACCGAACTACCAGTGTAGTTTTGGTAAGAAACTTGGGTAAAGTAGACTTTAAGGTACCCCCTTTGTATTATGGCGAAGATGTTGTTTGATTTATCGCCAAGTTGTTGTTTCATTTATGGTAGCCTGAGTAGTTTAATGTTATGGAAACCCTATTGTGACGTAATCGGGGGCATGATTCTGAGAAATTTTGAATCATGGGATGATTTGTAAGCGTTTTTGTGGTGTGTGTTGGTTTGATTCTTTAGACGGTAGAATGGCCGAATGTAGTAAGATTAATTTGAAGTTTGTGTACAACTTGGAGCGAAAGGGGAAATAATATTACTTTAATTGATCGGTGTGTAAATGAAGGTTTACTTAGTAGCCATTATAAGTGTCATATATGTAGGAAAGATATGCGTCTAGTCGAACGTAAAAACCGTTTAGATGGATTTGAATGGGTTTGTAGGAAGAAAGGTTCGGACGGTCACTATGTGAAGCATTCGATCAGAAAGAGTACCTGGTTTGAAAAAGTCATTTGAATATGATTGATATTTTGATTTTTACATGGCTCCGGGTGTACGAAGCGAACTCGACAATCATGGTAAGTGAATATTTGCTTTTGGTAGTGCTTAAATGTATAACATGTTTTACCTTTTTTGTGTTATTTTAATGTTTGGTTTAAAATGTATTTTATTGAGATTATGTATTTTTTGTTTTCCTATATTGTAGAATTTGGTGCTCCTTTGACTTTTCAAGTGAAAATAGGTCGACGTGTACATGGATAAAGTTAAAAGAGTGTGCAATGCCATTTTTGTGCAATTCTGGGATTTTTTTTTTAAAGTGGAAAATAGGTGGACGTGTACATGGATAAAGTCAAAGGAGAGCGCAATGCCATTTTTGTGCAATTCGGGGATTTTTTTTAAAGTGGAAATAAGTCGATGTGTACATGGATACCGAGTTTGTGCAATTGTTTGTCTTGTTATTTTGGCTTTGTGTAGTGGCGATTTTTGGCGCAAAAATCGCAAGCCAAAATAATGAGTCAAAGAATTGCACAGTTTCACCAAGGGGTACCCTAAACTATACTTTTACCAGAAACTTTACATTTTTGCTATCTAAATTTTTTGTTTTGGATTTTTGGCATAAATTGTGTATTAAAATTGTGGTTTCGCAGACATTTTAGGCTTAAAGTTTAAAATGTAGACAAAAAATTTAGTTAGTTATATATGGCGCCTTGGAGTTTCTCACCTAAAGTGTTTGGCGAGAGATTTGTCGCCAACCAAGGGTGTGTATAAGCGTAGTTCCCTCATTTTAAAATTAGTTTGCAATATTGCTTTTGAACTGAACTTTATGGTTTAAGTGCAAAGAACATAATATTTAATAAATAAAGGTAAGAAACAAAATGTTAAAAAAAAATGTCCCTCTGGACATAATTTAAAATTTGAAACCTTTCAGATTTTTTTTGTCTTTCTTTTGTATTTTTTATGCATCATTTTGTATTTTTCATACATTACTAGTTATATGTGCAGAAACTGCTAATAAATGGCAAAGTCCTGTTCTGAAAGCGAATTATTTTTTGTAAACATTTTTTTTTTTTTTTTTTTTTTTGTTATAACACAAATTTCATTTAATAAAGGTTTAAATTTTATTACAAAACTTTTGTATGATTTCATAACAATATTTTCTTTATCATTCAAGTTATACAAAATAAAAATTCATTTATCTCAAAATTTATATCAATGGACATAAATGGTCTCCCTCACAGTGTCTTAGTTTCATTCATACATAAATACATCATACAATTTGATATGTTCCTGCTTTATTTTTAAAGAATTTTGCTTCCTTGTAATGTAAACAAAAACCTTCACATGCATAACTCACTGTCCACCAGTCTTACACTTTCATAAAAACAGTGACCATATTTATATAGCACAACAATCCTGCTTACTTGGATAAGTTATGTAATCAATTCTTTTCTTTACTGTATTTGCTCTGTTTCCATCAATACTTTAAATTTACAAAATGTGAAAAATATTCTCACAGTCCGTATTTGTTGCTTTGTTTAACATTTCACTATTACTGCCATGCGACAGGTTCCCAGAAAGATCATTGTGAAATTTTATTCAGTTTCTTTGATTCAGTCATACCCACACTAGGCTAAATAAGCTTAACTCTGTTCATACCACCCTAATTGAACTCATCTTTCGAAACCATACTAGGCACCTTCTTTCCCGAAGCACTAATGGGTTTGTTGTGGAAGGAAACATGCTCATTTTTCTACCACAATCAAAATGCAGCTATAAAAATTTGAGTCCTAATTCATTTAATAACACAGTCCAGCTGATAGTGATCTAACTGCAATGTATCTATATCGGCGGTTTTCAAACTTTTTGCCTTATGCAACCCTTTCACAATTGCTAGACAAACACTCCACTCCTCTTTTCCAAAATTTGAAAAATAGTTGGACATTTATACAAAATTCAGATTATTTCTGATGTGTTATATATTAAACAAAACAAAAAAAGTGCTGAAAATGTCGGTAAATATTAAAACCTGAATAAAAGTAGTTTTGGTTAATCTTTGGATTATGGTAACTTGGCAATTTTTTGGCGAAAATTTGGCAACCAACCCTGCTACAGCAACCTGCTAGTTTTGTTTTGAATGCCATTTTGTTTTCATGAAGTAAAGGCATTTTTTTTTTTTTTTTTTTTCCTCAACATTTTTTCCAACAATCTGCTAGCCGAATTACGCTTATACTAGAACTTTTATGGAACAAAAATGCTTAATCATGACAAAGGTTAGGTGTGAAATTGGGAGAAAGTGCAGAATCGCAAACTGCTTGCCACGCTTTTAAGAACTGCACATACAAAGTATCATCCATGTACACGTTGAACTATTTTCACTTAAAAAAACATCCCAGAATTGCACAAAAATGGCATTGCGCACACTCTTGACTTTTTCCATGTACACTACTAAAGTCCTAGCTAGTAACTTCTATCGCCTTACCAAAATGTCGCCAAACTACCTGTTACCATATTCCAAAGATTAGCCATAGTTTTTTTTTTTTACATTCATAAACTAAATACTTAACAGTTAAATAAAAAGTTGACTGCATTCTTGCCCTTGAGATTCCGAATTCCCCAGGAATTCTCTCCAGGTTGGGAACACCTGACTTTTTTTTTTTACATTCATAAACTAAATACTTAACAGTTAAATAAAAAGTTGACTGCATTCTTGCCCTTGAGATTCCGAATTCCCCACGAATTCTCTCCAGGTTGGGAACACCTGAACTTTATAAATACATACATTCTTCTACTCTTTCATAATAATAGTACTGTAATGAAACCAATGCATACTGCAAGTAAAAACTCGGAATCTTAAATATTCGGTCTACCAGAAAGTTCTGTCCATTTCTATGACAACAATTTTTGACACGTAAGTACATGTTTATTTGACGCATGTTTGAAAGTGTTTGGTGAAAGTGCAGTTTCTGATAGAACATGCAGAAGATGGTTAAAAAAATTTGAAAGTGGTGATTTCGAACTACCTGATAAGCCACATTCTAACCATTCATCTTTGATTAACAATGATGTTGTTACAACCATGTTGGAGCAAGATCCTTTTCTGACAACATTGGAGATTGCAGAAAGGCTTAATTCAACTCAGCAAACGATTTTAGACCATATTCAGAAGATAGGATTAATGTGGAAATATTCAGGATGGGTGCCACATGAATTAAGTTAGAAGAATTTGGATGATTGAGTCATCATATGCACATCTCTGCTTGCTTGGAACAAAATCGAGCCATTCTAGAACCGGATGATAATTGGGGATTAAAAGTGGATTACTACCTATGAAAACATCGTAGGGAAAAAGGCAGATTGCGAGCCTAGAAAACCTAGCCCTTCCAATTCTAAAAGAAATTTGACTCTGATTAAGAGAACATTGTGCACATGGTAGGACATTCAAGGACCAACACAATATGAATTTTTAAAACCGAACGAAAAGCTCAGTTCGGGAAAAGCATTGTCAGCAACTGGATAACTTAAATCCAAGAAAGAGTCCAAGAAAAGAAGCCGTCAATGTTCAGTAGGAAGGACATCATACTACATCATGATAATGCCAGGCCACATGCCACTCTGCGGATTTGTCAAAAAATTGCAGAACTAGGCTGGGAAATTCTGTCACATCCACCATATTTCCCGGACTTAGCACTCTTTAACTATCACTTGCTTTTGTTCTTACAAAATTTTTTGAAGGACAAAATTTTCTAAAATGAAGAAAATATCAACCAAGCACTGGTTCAATTTTTCACATCAAAATATACAACTTTTTTCAAAAATGCGGCATACAAATCGCCCTCACGCTGGGAAGAAGTCATTAATAATAACGGCAATTATGTTAGTTAATAAAGTTTACTGACGGTAAGAAAAATTTGTATTTTGTTTTATTCCAAAAATGGACTGAACTTTCCGGTAGACCGAATAGTTGGACAATAAGAATAAATAGAGCGTCTTCAAAAATAAATAAATAAAAGACATGTTATTTAGTAACTGGCGGAATTTAGGAGTAAAAATATTATCCTAATATTATATATATATATATTGATATTGTACAGTTCCAGATTTCGACTACCCACGGTTTTATAAAATTACGTGTTAATGCTTCACAATCTTGAATAATACAATTTCAATTAAAAAAAATTACCACAAAATAATCTATTACTAAAGAGTGTCGTTAAATCATTCTTACCTGCATACCTGAATCGCCTGAGAATCATTCGCAATTAATTTCAACTCAAAATTGACTTTAGCTGTCGCCTTTAAAGGGTTCCTATGAAACCACCACGCCATAGTTTACAAAACATTAAACGAAACAGTAAAATTACATATATATACTGCATAGAGCAGCAATGGAGAGCAAAGATCTGAAACGGTTTCTCAGTAGTATGAAGCATCTCACCTCACCCCTATATACTCAAAGTATGAAATCTCGGGAGATCAGATGATATTAATTGCTTTCAAAATATGGGGGTAAACATACATATTTTCTTTTTGTACAATATTTCAGAATAGTAAGAGCGAAGGATATTACTTATCTTAAATATATTCCGTTCTTAAACAAAATAAAAAGCTATTTCTTGTCGGATGTTCAGAATAGTTTTCAAAACTTTTCGTTACTTGCATTAGAAAATTGTAATTAATAATAAACAAAAATTAAAGTTCTTTATTACTGATATTTAAACACATGTATTATTATTATTATTTTCTAGTCACAGAAGTATAATGATTTGTATCTGCCGTATAGATGCTCTTCACTCATGTTTCTAACATGCACGATTATGCAAGTATATTTTTCATTGAATATGGAAATCTTCATAATTTTTTCTATATTTATTCCTGGAAAAACAACAATATTTAGTTTGTAACCTAACAGCTAAGATAGCAGATAAGAATCTCCAGTTATGAGTAGTTTTGTCTTGCTAATTTGCAGGAGATTTCAAAACCAGAAAAGAAAACAGAAGTAACCTGATTTTTCCTGTCAAACCAGTCTCGAAAGTTATATCACAATACACTTAGCCACTGCAAGTCACAGATACCTGCAAAACGTATGGCTACGTTAGCGTGGCGCTGAATCGTATTAAGAATGTTGTCGAATTTTGATACAACAGCAGTCTAATTTTGCTACAACAGTCAGTGACGCCTGGAATTCCTCAAGTGTCCTGTCCTTGGGTGGGAGATATTAAAACGAGTAATAGAGTGATAGATTCGAAGTGCTTTGTTCAATGGGCCTCTTAAAGAATGGAGAAGTATTGTAACTATTTTCTAACAGCGCTGTGGGGTTCCACAACAGCTAAATGTGTAGAAACCTCGTGAACAGATGAGCGAATAATCGCTTGAGTTCGGGAACAGAGACGTAAAACTTAAGAAAAAGTTAATTAGCCTTTATTATTCAGAATAAGAATTGAATAGTCTGTTCCTTTCTCAGAGCGTACAGCAAAACCTCCACTTGGGCTTGAACTCAAAGTAATAAGAACTAAAACTTAAGTAATGCTTAGCTAAAAAGATATAGCCGAAGCTGTCAAGATTATAAGTAGTTGTCCCCTAACTATCAAATAAGCTGGAGAAGCTATCAAGGCCCTGAAATACGGCCGAACGTAGTAACAGCTATAAGGCGAACTCGCGCTATTCAGAAATTGTGAGGGTCTCTAACGTAAGTCTGTCCCGTTCCGTTTGCCAATGTCGCGCGTCTAGCTTCTAAATGTGCTAGCTGTATACCGGCTATCTTCATTTGGTTGCTTTATGTAGCGATGCAGGAACAGAAATGCCTAAGTGAGTCCTGGAGACAAGATATGATACATAAAAATTCAAATTTTTCTCATAAACTGGAAGACTATATACACAATATTTACAACCATTTGCTTTGCATTAAATGAGTGATGAGGATGAAGTCAAAATCATGGTATATACACATATTCGGCTGAGATTTTGAACAGAGCAGATGCGAAAGCACGTTAAGCTTCATGTAGGAAAATTTTGACTATCGCTGAGCATGACAGGAGCAAAAGGACGCAGATGGCGATCATCTTGAAGAATCTTGTAGTTGAAAAGTTCAAAGTGGTTCGTTATATTACATTCTTGTGCTTCCTGGTAGAAACGTTCATTCAGTTTTCCGAAAAACTTCGCCAACGGTTCGATCTTAGGGTCGTCGTGAAGACATTTGTTACATACATAGAAATGAACATTTGTAATAATAAGAAGATATTATGCCGGCGAAGCGTAAGCCATGACTGGTCTGATAACAGAGAGGTAAATAAGTCTCTTCTTGTTCAGGTTCAGTGAAGAGTATTTCCCACTAATTGTGTATAAGCATTTGATGATTTTAAGTGCCCTATCACACACGTTATTAACATGATGTGTCCAAGTAAGGCGGTCATTAAATAAGACACCAAGATATTTGGCCTCGGAAACCACCGGAACAGTTTCGTTGAATAAAGTAAGTTGTTTTTTGATCTGAGCGTTCCTTTTGCGTTTCCGAATGATCAAGATCTGTGTCTTTGAGGCATTAATTTCGATTTTCCATTGTGAACACCACTACTCAATCGAAGAAATAAGATCTTGAAGTTTTTTTACTACGTGATTTAGATTTTCAGATTTCGCAGCTAACGCGGTGTCATCTGCATAGCAAACTAAAATAGAGTTGTTCTGTTTTATTTCTAGAAAATATGCAGCGTAAAATAAATAAAATATCTGTCCTAGGACTGAGCCTTGAGGAATACTACTACGAATATTCTTTTTGCAGGAGTCAGCACCATTTACACAAACATAAAATGTTCTGTTCGTGATGAAAGAATGTATCGTAATAGTTCTCTATCTAAGTGACAGGAAATCAATTTTGACATAAGTCCCTCATGCCAGACGCGGTCCAAAGCTTTTGCCACGTCTAGCATGAAGAGAGCAACGCACTGTTTATTATGGAGTGATGCGCCAGCAAACTTCGTAATCCTTACTATCTGCTTGGTCGCCAAAAGCTTGGCTCGAAACCCAAATTATTCAGGCGGTAAGTAAATTAAGATAATGCTGCATGCGTGATAAAGTAATCCGTTTGTATATCTTTCTTAGCACTGATAGCAAACTGATCGGCCGTTAACCGTCAGGTTTAGTGTGATCCTTTCCAGGCTTCGGAATCAAAATAACTTTTGCTTATTTTCATAAGATAAGAAACAAGTTGTGATACAAGCATGCATTTAAAATGCTGGTCAGCATAAAAATAATTTTGCGCGGCCGGTTTTTGACAGCAGCATTTGTGATGCCGTCATTACCGGGCGCTTTGCGTGGTTTAATTTTTTAATAATATTCACAATTTCCTCAGGAGTAGTAAATTTCGGAATATATTTGACAGATGGTGCACAGATCCAGTCACGTACTCGAAGTAACGTAGATGATTCGAAATTTTATCAACAGGCCATTCATTTGGCGGGAATTACGTTACCAAATGCATAGCAAAAATATCCGCTATATCACTATTACAAATAGCCACTTTTCCATTGTCGTAAAGAGGGCGATTTGACACATACAGTGTCTCAAAAAAGTGATGGGACACTCGTGCTTTACAAAAGGAAACTACAATAAAATAAATTTAAAAAACATGTAAAATTTTTTGTGGGTGTGTTTCATACTTAAATTTAGTAACAATTATTACATAACATACATTTTCTCAAAATATTAAAATATTAATTTAATAAAAATACAATTGTTTAGAAAGGAGCAGAAAATGGCTCACTTTAAGTGATGGGACACTACGTATTATGCAACAAAAATCGTCTGAAGTAAGCAATAAAAATATCCTTTGGGGTATTTATTTTTATTCAAAAGCAATTGCCAATAATTTATAAAATCGTCTGCAGTATTTCTCTCCAGTGGTTTTTGGAATTTTTGTGTTTTTTAGCTTTTTTCAATGCTAAACGAAAAGAAACTTTGCCTGGAATTCGAAAATTAGTTATTAATTTGCATATTGAACGTGGAAAATCTATTAGAGAAACTACTGAAACAGTTAACTTCAATCATTCAACAGTTTTCAATATCATTAAACGATATAAAAAGAATCATATGATTCAGGATAAAAGAAGACCTGGCCGACCATCAAAGCTATCCAATGGAATAAAGCGAATTATCGTTCGAAATATTAAAAAAAAAAAAATCCAAGAATGAGTGCTCCTAAAAGTTGCTGTCTGATTTACAAGCATTATATGGAGTAATTGTTAATTCCTGAGACTATTAGAAGAGTAATTCGATCTGCTGGATATCACGGTAGAGCAGCCAGGAAAAAATTCTTCGTAAGTGAAAAGAATAGAAAACTCAGACTGGCTTTCGCAAAATCCAACATAAATAAGAATTCTGATTACTGGAATGAAGTTATATTTGCTGATGAGAGTAAATTTAATATATTTGGTTCTGACGGTAGAATCTTGGTGTGGAGAAAACCCAGGGAAGAATTTCGCAAACAGAACTTGGTGCCAACAGTAAAACATGGTGGAGGAGGAGTTATGGTATGGGGTGTATGTCGTCCGCTGGAGTTGGTAATCTTGCTTTTATTGACAGTATAATGGATCAGTACAAGTATACTGACATTTTAAATCAAAATTTGAAATCTTCAGCACGAAAATCGAACCTTCATAACGATTTTAAATTCTACCAGGACAATGATCCCAAGCACAGTGCTTTGAACGTTAGACTCTGGCTGCTGTATAACTGTCCTGAAATAATAAAAACACCCCCACAATCTCCACAATTAAATCCCATAGAGAATATTTGGCAAGAATTGGAATCAAGAATTCGCAAACACACCATTTCTTCAAAATAACAATTAAAATTGGTGCTTTAAGAAGAATGGGGTAAAACCACTCCAGAAATCACAAAAATATTAGTCGAATCCATCCCAAGAAGATTAAATCATGTTTTAAAAGTAAAAGGAAATCCAACAAAATATTAAAACCTTTTAAAAAGTAAAATTTTTGGATAAATATTTGATGGAAAAGTAAGTGTTCCATCACTTAAGTGAGCCATTTTCTGCTCCGTTCTAAACAATTGTATTTTTATTAAAATAATATTTTAATATTTTGAGAAAATGTATGTTATGTAATAATTGTTACTAAATTTAAGTATGAAACACACCCACAAAAAATTTTACATGTTTTTAAAATTTATTTTATTGCAGTTTCCTTTTGTAAAGCACAAGTGTCCCATCACTTTTTTGAGACACTGTAAGTCGATTTGAGATTTATAATCAGAGTCCAGAGCGAGTCATCCTGAATGCTAAGTAACTCAAAACTGCAAAGTAATTCAAAATTCTGTTGAGACGGTGATTCTAGGCATACTGTAGGAAAGTAAGACCATGGGTGCTGTTC